TATGTTAGCTGTTGGCCAATAATATGGGCCAATTGGTTGTAAAGATTATGTTTTATAGACAAAAATAACACTGCAGTTTCTTGTGAGTCTGCATGTTGTGTGTGTACTGAGAGCTGCAGATAAACAGTTTTCCAAAGGATGAGCAGTACAGTAACAAGAGAATGTGATAGTTTACCTGTTTTACAAAGGGTGAATTCTGAGCCATGGTCTGTCAACAGCTTTGCAGTTTCCCTTCCATCTGTGAGCCTAACCCTTTCTACACATCCTCACTCGGTCAGCTCATAGGCTTTCTTCTCAATGATTGCACATCAGTTCAGATTTTTTAAGGTGGCTTGTACCTTTTTATTTGAAGTGGAAACCTGACAAATCTATTGGAAAGTTTGAACAGCTATGGCATTTTTTTCCCCCTGATATCGCAATGAGATTTGTTTCCCTTGTGATGAATGAGCGAAACATATTTATGAGACTAGGAGCTGAAGTGAAATTGTTAAGAAGCCTAATCTGTAACATTTAGTTAGAAATTGATATAATATTTCAACACTTTTTTAAGTATTGAATAGGAAAACCAGTTAATTGCATCGACTCATTGACTCGGATGCTATCACCCACAAATGTGGGAAACAATATTCAGAAATGTTTGTCATTCTAATGCTTTTTTATTACATTGACATCCGTTCAATTTGGAAGCGACTGAAGCACAGAGAATCAGTTCTATTCAAGAAGTCATTGGATATGATTTGAGATTTGGTGCATTATCCTATCAAAAGTAGTTAGTGGAAGATGGATGTTCTGTGATTATAAAGGGATGAACATGGTCAGGTACCATAATTTAGGTTGGCTAAATTATGGTACCTAAAGAAGCTATTTAAAGGAGATATATAAATTTATTTCTCATTAAATTTCTATCTACATTTATTTATTTATTTATTTTTTGGTTGGGGGCAGGGGCGGATCTAGAAAAATATTTATGGGGTGGCAAGAGGGGGGCAGGAATTTTTTAGGGGTGGCAACATATGGCATTTGTTTACACTGAATTTAATCACAGTTATCACAGTTTGGTGAGAATAGTATGTACAGTACTAGTGTTTCATGTGAAACAGTTCATATTAATAATACATCGTACAATGTGATCTCACTTAATAGGAGATAGAAGAATGATAACACTACTTCTAGAGGGGCCTTATGATAGGAAAGGTATTAAGGTAAGACACAGGTGCTGAGTCGCAGATGTGTGAGATTGACTGTCAGAGAGGCAGCTTTGCAGCATTTGCACAAGAAGAAACTATAGAAAGAAAAACTTACCCATCAGAGATCTATGGACTGAGCTGTTCTAAAGTGAGCATAACTACACAATAGAAATAAATGGGTCAAGGCACCCAAACAAGGTACTGGACATCTATGTAATGTTTACTCTGAACACACATTTACCCCATTTGTTCCTCAGTAACTTGACATACAGCAGTTACGGCAACATGAAAGGGACATTTCATGCATGTAAATATGCTGTAGATAGAGCTGGATATGGAGGACCAACTCTGCCATATTTAAAAATAAATACAGAAATAAATAAATGCTCAATAAATAAATAAGCATACAATTAATTGCCACCAAAAATACAATCAACAAATAAATGTAATCAGAAATTATATTATAATGACAGGCAGAAATGTAAAAAGGGCAGGCAGAAAGAAATAGCGGCGAAGAAATAACTAGCGTAAAAAAATACAAAGGAAGAATAAAACAGACAAAAATATTCTAACATGCACATAAATAAATACTTAAAAATATAAGTCATTAAAAAATGAAGTTGAAGATAATAAATGACAAAAAAATAGGGTAAATATTAAAAAGGCAAAGAAATAAAAAGAGTTATATACCTTTATGACTAGCTGTATAATTTAATTTCTACTTACATTTATTTGTTGTTTGTATTTTTGGTGGCAATTAATTGTATGCTTATTTATTTATTGAGCATTTATTTATTTCTGTATTTATTTTTAAATATGGCAGAGTTGGTCCTCCATACTGCTGTATCAACAAATCAACAAAAAGGCGGGTTCTGTATGTTACATCAAAATCTCCACAAATCTGAAAAGAAGCAACATAAAAATACATTTTGCATGTGAGTAGGTTCATACAGGTCATTTCTGGATAGTTTCATACTATGTATACAAAAAAGAAACAACACTGCTTCATATTAAGCAGGATTTACACCAGTATCAAATTTTTTACTTTTAACACTTTTGGTTTTATTAAAGAAAATATCAGATTTTCTCAGGTGCCAAAACAAAATGTAACAGCTCTGCAAAGGCTCACCAGAGAGCATAACATAAAGTTACCATGACTATAACAGGTGAATGCGGTGATTTCCATGTTGCTCAGCAAAACGCTTCACAAATGTATTTAGATCCAATGCCAATGTGCGTTTTGATTTGAGTACAGCCAAACTTGATCGTCTCTTTTCTGTCATAGTTGACCGCAAATATGTCTTTATGAGCCTGAGACGTCAGGCCTAACTAACATCATAGATAGAGAAATAAAGTTCTGCAACCTGATTTTTATCATCTCAAAATCAGCCTTGCAGCTATGCTAGCAACATTGTGCTTTCATTATAATTTCATTTCTCTATAGATAGTTAATCAATTTTTACCTGTTTCATCCCGTTTCTCCTCTCCCCATCACCCCTGGCTCCCTTGCTTTGCCCCATTCGATTTTCAAAACAATCAGTCTCAGTCGCTCTCGCGTCATCTCGTGCTGCATTCACTGCAGTCCGACATTAGAAATTAGCAGTCGTAATTCTCAAATGATCCATAATTTATAAGCCTCGCCACCCCTACCGCCAACTGGGGTGGCAGCAGGGGTGGCAAGGCTGTCATTTAGGGTGGCATTTGCCACCCTATGCCACCCCAGTAGATCCGCCTATGGTTGGGGGGCAATTGATTGTATGCTTATTTATTTATTTATTGAGCATTTATTTATTTATTTATTTTTAAATATGGCAGAGTTGGTCCTCCATAGATTTAAACAGCCATAAATTAGACTAAGTAATGTATTCTATATCAATCTTAGTTTAATTTTCCTAGTTAAAACACTTGTTACCTCAATTCAACGTGGAGAGAGTCAAACAGAGAAGAGTTACAATTAGAAAATATTCTATTTATTTATATATAGAATATTATATATCAATCATATTTTTCAAATTTCTATGTAAGGAAAACCAGCTGATGTTGAGGACTCATTGACTCTCTGCAATCCCTTGCATGGGCGACAGTGGCGTTGGATGTAGGAGTTTGCCCTGAAATCGAAGGATTGACAGTTCAAGACTCCGACTTTCAGTGTCGTTGTGTCTTTGGGCAAGACACTTCACCTGCATTGTCTACTGATGGTGGTCAGAGGGCCCGGTGGCGCCAGTGTACGGCAGCCTCGCTTCTGTCAGTGAGCCCCAGGGCAGCTGTGGCCACAATGTAGCTTGCCACCATGAGTGTGTGTGTGAATGGGTGAATGAATGTAGTGTAAAGCACTTTGGTCAAGTCTCCTGACTTGAATAAAGGCGCTATATAAGTACATACCATTTACCATCCCTTGAACTGAGCATGCATGTAGTGACAGTGGAGAGGCAAACTCCCTTTTAACAGGAAAAAACCTCCTGCCAAACTAGGCTCAGCGGCCATCTGCAGAGGCCAACTGGGGTTCAAGGAGACAAAAGCAGATGAAGACATAAATGCAATAAGTTCTTTGGGGCTTTGGCCCCGACAGAAAACTTAGACTTAGACAAACTTTATTGTCATTTTCTACACACAGATGGTATACAAAACTTTTGTTCAGTACAGCTCTCAAGACATTTCCATTTCTAAAGTGCAGCAGTGATAAAATGTTAACATGGTGATCAAATAAACGCATACGTGGTCAAATGTAAATATAAGACTGGTATATGATTCACAGTTTTCCCAACACTTTTTTCCCCATTTTATTCGACATTCAGCAGTCTATGGGAGTGGGAAAAAGGTGTTTTGGAGTCTGCTGGAACTGCACTGGGTGCTTCGAAGCCTCTTCCTAGATGGCAGCAAGGAGAACAGTCCATAGTGGGATGTTTGAAGTCAACAATAATCTCCTTCATTTTCTCCAAATTCAGGATCAGGTTGCTGTCTCTGCACTAGTCCACCAGCTGCTCCACCTCTTCTTTGTAGTCGTGGTCGTTGTTATCTCTAATGAGGCCCTCCACCGTGGTGTCATCTGCGAACTTTCCGATGTGATTTGTGGTGATGGGATTATTCAAGCTGTCTCTGTGTGAGTAACTCTAGCAATCTAAGTAAGTTTTCTGTGCAGTTAAATTCTGATCAGCTTGTTGCCTATGTATTTTCGGTTATTGCCTTTTGCCCTGTCTGTTCTGCTCAGTTTGCTTTTTGGTCTGACTTCCTTGATTTTGCTGGTTATCCAACTCGGACTGTTTTACTGACCTTGGCTTGGATTCTTCATGGTTACCTCTTCAGCTCTCGGATGTCCTGGTTTCTGACATTGTTCTAGACTGGTTTTTGGCTTTGGGTTATCCCCTAAGGACATTTTTGCTTGCTCCGCGCCGGTTGACGGCAGTTCCCCCCGCACTCTGTGCTCCGAAGCGGTAACGACCGCAAGTGGTGGACATTTTCCCCCGGGTTTCTCCTCTCTGAGTTTTGGACTGAACTCTCAACCAGGTCAGTGACTTTGTAGTCCACTCACCCTGCTTGTCACTGATCTGAGAACCCGCTCCGAGGAGTTTCTGTCGTCCTCTTTTGTTTTGTTCTTAATAAGCTTGTTTAAAACTTTCGTTTTAATAAGGAAACTATAAGTTTTCAACTTGAGTAGTTCTTTACAGAGCTAATTAACAGACAAAAAGATTTGACAGACAAAAACTATTTTGATGTAATACTACTGTCAAGGTGTTTTAAAGAGATCTGACCCACATGCAGGAAACCACTCAGAGAAACCAGGGTAAAAGTTTAACAGGTTTATTGGGAGTTCAAATGGGTTGGATTCAGGTGAACTCAGAGGGCTGGTGAACCGGAACTGGAAGTAAGAGGGGAAGTTCACAGAGGTTAATTCAGGGTCCGTGGGAACTTTGAACGACGTCTTGCAAAAAACTGGACTCACGTTTGCGGAGAAAAATTTCTTCCCAGTTCCTGAGGAGCAATGGAGCGGACTGCCACTTAGATTTCCAGGAGTACTTGAACGGGACGTGTGGAGAAAAATCCCCTGCTCAGTGTGAAGCTCAAACAAATCCTTCCAGGGGGGAGAAGGCCCAAAAATCCAGTATGCAGGATGACTTCCTGCCGAAAGGCAAAAGACAAAAACAACGTTAGAACTCAGAGAAACAAAGACTCAGTTAGACTCAGCTAAACTTAGCTTGGCTAGAGTACCCCAAACTGGCAAACACTCTGGCGTCGAGGTAGTGACAGTCCGCCACTCAAATACTCCCCAGTGATGAGCCAACCAGCCACTGGTGTGCAGGACGACCAGCTTTTGGCTACATGAGGGAACTTAAAATGATACTATCAATTATAAGACAAATAGCAAACTTTAATGAAACATTTAATTAAACATCCACCACCAGGGCACCTGTCTCCTATTTTTAGGAGACAGAAAAAAAGAGATGGCTAATGAGCAAACTCGGAGCAGGTGTGCACAGAGCAAGAGAGGAAAAGAGCTAGGGAAAAAGGAGAACATAAGAGGGCAGCAGAGGGCAACAAATAGAAACCAAGAAAACTGAAAACCAGAAAAACACAACAAAATAAGAATTAAACCCTTTAAACTAGAAAACAAGGAGTAAAGCAAAACTGGATACTCAAAAGAAAAGAAAACAGAACCAAGACTAAAACAGTAACTAGGAATTGACCAGAGAACACAGCAAAATAAAACTACTAACACTAGAAAACAAGGAGTAAAGCAAAACTGAACACTAAAAAGAAAATATAAAAGAACCAAGATTAAGACAGTAACTGAGATAAACCCAAGGAACACAACAAAATAAGAACTAAACCATAAAAACCTATAAAACAAAGAGCAAAGCAAAAGTTAATATCAAAAGTAAAACATAACAGAAACAGAAACCTTACAGTTTTAGCCCTAAATTTAATATATTAAATTTATTAATTATATATATTTTGTTACAACATACACATTCAATTCAATTCAATTCAATTCAGTTTATTTATATAGCGCCAAATTCACAACACATGTCATCTCAAGGCACTTTACAGTTCAACCAGATCATACAGTCAAATTGATACAAAGTTTTCTATCTAAGGAAAACCAGTTGATTGCATTGACTCATTGACTCAAATACAATCCCCCACACTAAGCATGCTTGTAGCGACAGTGGAGAGGAAAAACTCCCTTTTAACACACTGCAAAAACAATCTAGAAATAAGTAAAAAAATTCTTAAATTAAGTGTATTCATCCTTAATTTGAGTAGGTAAATGAGATAGTTTGCCAATGGAATGAGTAATTTTACTCTTAAAATAAGATAATTAGATAATATGAACTTGAAATAAGACAATGCAATTGTGTTTTCTTATTTTAAATGTAAATTGTCTTGTTCCACTGGCAAAATGTCTCTTTTACCTCCTCAATTCAAGAACAAATGCACTTATTTTAAGAAAAAATGACTTATCTAGATTTAGATTTTTTGCAGTGCAGGAAGAAACCTCCAGCAGAACCAGGCTCAGTGTGAGCGGCCATCTGCCGAGGCCGACTGGGGTTCAAGGAGACAGAAGCAGAGATACAAAAAGCAGCTGTAAAAGGCGGCCCCGTCCAGGAAACACACAGCCAGGCAGACGAGCTCCAAGGCAGCTCCCATGCCAGAGGACGAAGAGAGCACATCCACTCAGTCACGGTCAGAGAAACAGGACCACACTGGAAAACAGGCCGATCTCCAACATCTATTAACAAGGGTGTTGATAGAAGCAGCACAGCTGATGTTTTTTTCCAGGATGACGTCACAGCCAAACAGGAACAGACGAGGCAAAGCTACTCTGAGGAAAAGCAGAGAGAGCAGAAGGTTAGAGATTGAACTAACAGATTCTGCAGAATAGGAGAACAGAGAGAGAATGAAGCAGAATGATGAAATGGGGGTCCCTATGTCCTCCAAAAGTCTAAGCCTATAGCAGCATAACTATAGAGATAGCTCAGGATAACCTGAGCCACCCTAACTATAAGCTTTATCAAAAATGAAAGTTTTAAGCCTAGCCTTAAAAGTAGACAGGGTGTCTGCCTCACGGACTAAAACTGGTAGTTGGTTCCACAGGGGAGGAGCCTGATAACTAAAAGATCTGCCTCCCATTCTACTTTTAGAAATTCCAGGAACCACTAGTAAACCTGCAGATTGAGAGCGAAGTGCTCTGTTAGGAACATAAGGAACAATCAGATCTCTGATATAAGATGGAGCTTGGCCATTTAAGGCTTTATATGTGAGAAGGAGGATTTTAAATTCTATTCTTGATTTAACAGGAAGCCAATGAAGAGAAGCCAGGATAGGAGAGATATGATCTCTCTTTTTCATTTTCATTAGAACTCTGGCTGCAGCATTTTGGATCAGCTGAAGGCTTTTAACTACAGTTTGTGGACTTCCTGATAGTAAAGAATTACAATAGTCCAGCCTTGAAGTAACAAATGCATGGACTAGTTTCTCAGCATCACCCCTGGACAGGATATTTCTAATTTTTGCAATGTTCCTCAGATGAAAGAAGGAAATTCTAGAAACCTCTTTGATATGGGATTTAAATGACAGGTCCTGATCAAAAATAACACCAAGATTTTTTACTTTATTATCTGAAATCAGTTTAATCCCATCCAAATGAAGTGACTGGCTAATCAGTTTCTTTTTCAGAGACTCTGGTCCAAAGACTATAACTTCTGTTTTGTCTGCATTCAGAAGCAGAAAGTTAAGAGTCATCCAGGTTTTTATGTCTTCAAGACATGCCTGTAATCTATGTAATGGGTTAGCTTCATCTGGATTTATAGACAGATATAGCTGGGTATCATCAGCATAACAGTGGAAATTAATCCCATGCTGTCTAATAATTCTACCAATTGGGAGCATGTATAAAGTAAAGAGAATTGGTCCTAGCACTGATCCCTGTGGTACTCCACAGGTAACCTTTGAGCGTGTTGAAGATCTATCATTAACATGAACAAACTGAATTCGATCAGATAGATAAGATTTAAACCAGTCTAGTGCTGTTCCTTTAATTCCAACAAAATATTCAAGTCTTTCTAAAAGAATATTATGGTCAACTGTATCAAATGCAGCACTAAGATCCAACAGGACGAGCACAGATACAAGTCCATTATCTGAGGCCATGAGAATATCATTAGTGACTTTCACCAGAGCTGTTTCAGTGCTATGAAGCGCTCTAAAGCCAGACTGAAACTCTTCAAAAAGTTCATTATGGTGGAAGTGATCGCAAACTTGTTTGGCAACTACTTTCTCAAGAATTTTGGATAAGAAAGGAAGATTGGATATAGGTCTATAATTGACCAAGTCATCTGGGTCAAGAGACGGTTTCTTAAGCAGAGGTTTAATTACAGCAATCTTAAAAGCTTTAGGTACATATCCCTGTAACAGAGATAGATTAATCACATCTTAAAAATGGAGGAGGAGATCAAAGGGAATACCTCCTTAAATAACCTGGTTGGAACTGGATCTAACATACAAGTTGAAGGCTTAGATGAAGACAATAATTTTGCTAATTCAGAGAGTTCAACTGGATCAAAGCAGTCTAAACCCGGTTCAGATTCCATGACTACCTCAGGTACAATCGCGGATAGAGGAGTGCTTATGATCTTATTTTTAATAAGATCAATCTTATTTATAAAGAATCCCATAAAATCATTGCTGCTAAGAGCAGGTGGAATGGACGGTTCAACAGAGCTATGGCTCTGGGTGAGTTTGGCAACTGTATTAAAAAGAAATCTTGGATTATTCTTATTCTCCTCTATTAATGAGGAGAAGTATGCTGCTCTTGCTTTACAAAGGGTCCTCTTATACAGCAGTAAACCATTTTTCCAGACTAGGAAGGACTCTCGCAGGCCTGTGGAGCGATATTTTCTCTCCAGTTTCCTAGCATTTTGCTTCAAAGTACGCAGCTCTGCATTAAACCAAGGAGCAAGCTTTCTATTTTTAACGGTTTTCATTTTCAAAGGAGCTGCGTTGTCTAAGGCAATACGCAGAGAACTAGCAACCCCATCAACAAAATCATCAACCTGTGAAGGGGAATAAGCTAAGCTTTTGCACTCTGCAGCACTGCTCAGTGACACAGAGCAGAGAGAAAGTGAAGCAGATTCTTTAAAATTTATAACTGCACTATCTGATAAAGATCTACTAAAATTGAACCTTCTTTTGGCGGAGGAGAACTCTGTTAAAGTAATCCTGAAGGTTATTAGAAAGTGGTCAGAGAGGACAGGGTTGTGAGGAAATACTGTTATTTCTTCACATTCTATGCCGTATGTCAGCACAAGATCCAAAGTATGAAGATGAGAATGCGTGGGACTATTCACATTTTGAACAAAGCCAATAGTGTCTAAGATAGCATTAAAGGCTGCTCTTAAGCTATCGCCTTCAATGTCAGCATGGATGTTAAAATCTCCCACTATGATGACCCTGTCAGTATTTAATACCAAATCAGAAAGGAACTCTGAAAACTCATCTAAAAATTCAGAGTAAGGACCTGGTGGACGATACAAAGTTACAAAAAGAAGAGGTTTTCTTGCCTTGAAATTTGGATCAGGGAAATTAAGGGTTAAATGTTCAAAAGAGTTGTAGGTATTAATTGTTTTGGGAGTAATCAGTAAGTCAGACTGGAAGATTGTTGCTACTCCTCCTCCTCGCCCAGAACTTCTGGGGATGTGAAAATTTAAATAGCTTGAAGGAGTTGCCTCATTTATGCTCACATAATCCTCTTGCTGCAGCCAGGTTTCTGTAAGGCAAAACAAGTCAATGTGATTATCACAAATCAAGTCATTAACTAGTAGACTTTTAGAGGAAAGCGATCTTATGTTAAACAGACCGCATTTAATTGTTTTAACTTTTTCCCCAATTGGAGTTATTTTGATTTTAATTAGATTATCATGATTTAATCCTTTGGGAATCTTTGCTAATTTATTAGATTTTGGTCGTGGGCAAGACACTGTCTGGATGGAGTAAAGAGTGGGTAACAGTAGAGAAGCTGCAGAGATGTGTGTTAAACTACAACTCTGCTTCCTGGTCTGCACCCTGGGTGGTCAGGGTTTTGGAGGACTAATAAATGTGGCCAGATTCCTAGAAAGAAGAGCTGCACCATCCAAAGTGGGA